GACCATTTCCCTTTAGTCATCGTTCCCTTTAGTTTTACTTAATTTTCGCTGGCTACAAAGACATATTTTGACTTCTTTTCTCTACGTCGATCAAAAGAGATATATTTATCACACCGTCATTCAATAATGCACTTTCGAATATGCTTGTGTATTTTTAAAAACTAGATCTTATGAAAAAGCACTTCTTGTCGCGAGGAACAGTTCTAAAGGGGCCCATTTGCAAAAACAGGACCGGCTAAGCGGTATCTTGATTTACAATAACTCTATGTAGACATAAGGTATCATGCACACCGAATTGATCAAAACTAACAAACAACAAGTACCCGAAGGCCAAAAGACCTTCAAAATGTCAGCATTTAGAGGGAAGGTATTATCGACCACACCTATCGATAAAAGTATTCATACAACATAGCGGAAAGTACGAATTAAACGGATAAGATGGAATACAGCCTAGATCTATTATCCATCACATCTATCGATTAAAAACTCATACAACATGGTGGAAAATATGGATTATGCGGATAACACGGAATATACCCTAAACCAATCCATGACCACACCCTTCGGTGAAAACTCATACAACATGGTGGAAAATATGGATTATGCGGATAACATGGAATATACCCTAAACCAATCCATGACCACACCCTTCGGTGAAAACTCATACAACATGGTGGAAAATATGGATTATGCGGATAACACGGAATATACCCTAAACCAATCCATGACCACACCCTTCGGTGAAAAACTCATACAACATGGTGGAAAATATGGATTATGCGGATAACATGGATTGAATAACTATTCATGAATATATTAATATTTATGAATACTGGTATTGAATATAAATGGATATCCGTATAATCCGTGTTATCCGTGTTTTCCATCCTTTTTTTATGAGTTTCACATGGCTAATGAATATTAATATTGAATATATTAATATCCGTTTAATCCACCAAATCCACGTTCTCCGACTACCTCTATGAATTTGTGTTGAAGGGTGTGGTCAGAAATAAAAATAAAAACATGGCGGAAAACATGGATTTTACGGATAAAACGGATTTAATAATTAGTGTATAATTAATGAATATGTATACAAAATATAAATAAACATCCAAATAATCCGACTAATCCGTGTTTCCCATCCTGTTTCATAAGTTTTTCGTGGCTAATGAATATTAATATTGAATGGAATGTATCAATATTTACATCCGTGTAATCCACCAAATCCATGTTTTCCGGCAACTTCAATGAATTTCTGTAGAAGGGTGTGGTTCANAATGCTGCATGGGCTTCTAGAGTTTGTCCAGGGGTCGGGAAACCACATTCCTTGACAGACAAAGTCTTTGAAATATGAGACTTTGTTATCGATGTAAGTCCAAAACAATACTCCTGAGTTTGGCAGCTAATTACATTTTTCACGGTATTGAAATCACAAAACGAAGTTAGAAAACACAACATGATGACCCCCCAGAAACCCCTTCACCCATTGTACTATTTAAACAATACCTATGTGACGTAATATAAAAGCGTTATTCTTACTTGTCGTCAACGTCATATTTTTTATTGATTGCCCGTATGTAGTMTTGATCAGGAGACAACAAACGTTTGAACCGCTGAAAGATACGACAAAATAATCCAATGCGTCCTCATTAGTATTGTATTAACTCTTGATTAAGTTGARCATTAGTATTGTTGGATTCGTTATGAATCTCAAATTTGGTCTGTCTGTCCATTCTTAGTTCTCAATTATGATAAGTAAGTTACTTCAGGGAGGAGCAAAGGTAGCTGTCTTGTAACTTTCCCTCCTGTGATGTCACTAGAGGAAAATTTAGAAAAATACAAAGGATTCCTTTGTCTTCTAAATTTCCCTTGTGTGACGTCACAGGAAGGAAATTATGGTTTGTAAACCCCTCGGGAGGCCAAAGAATCAGAGGTGATCATGGTATCATATGATAAATTCAATTGTTAATCTAAAATTGTACCTGTAACTATTATTTTCTTAATTAGACAGTTACAGAAGGAATGATATATGGATATATAATTAAAAGGTAATAGGACTCCATGCTTTCCAATTAAGAAATTAGTATACTCGAAAAATTCCTCTGACTGCCAAAATCTTGTCAGTCCCCGGAATCTTCCTCGTAATTTAATTTTTCTTGTTTGGACAGCATGGAGCCCTATTACCTTCTAATTATACATCCACATATTATTCCTACATATAATAGTCGTATGGAACCAATATATATACAGGTATTTAGTACTTTACCTCGGTCTTTGTTCCCTTATATGTCCAAAACTTATAACCAGCAAAGATTGGTACAAACATGAGAGACACAATGCACAGTAGCCAACCCATGAACTCGGCCCATGGCGGGAACTGATGATCTCCATAGCTGATGCCCTCCCAACTGATACAATTCCATATAAAGATAACCTGGAAATATGAGTATTTTGACTAAATTCGCGCGATCTGATTGGCTGGTATCTATGAGTTATTTGATAATTGGTAGATAGATCAAATATATAAATAGCAAAAACTGCGACCTTCTCTACATAAAGAAGCTTTGTTTCTATTTTGACTTACCAAGATAATAGTTGGTGATATATACTTCCAGCAGACGCGATAGAAGATGTTCGGTTTGTAACCAACCATTGTCTCAATGTTCTTACTGAACGTCTCAACACCTAAAATCACGTTTCACATTAATAATCATATGGCTGTCAGTGCACAAAAAAATACATTCAGGTACTTGCAATCTAGAGGATATACCGTTGGCAATAGAATGAGGGAATTTAGGATGATCACCGTTGATTTTAATATAGACTTCTGAATTTTTGAATAAAAAACCACTTGGTTTTCAATTCCTTGTGGGATCCATTTCCGGAGAAGACAAAAGAAATGCGCGATGTTCTGTCCTTCCTACAATGCATTGCGTACACGGTACATGACGTAAAAGCTTCAGAGGTCTATTGTTTTGTAATATGTTAATTGCTCACGTGTATCCATGAACCTTTGCGATCGTTTGTTTTGTTTACCAATGATCAGTCATATTGAAAGCTGCTTTCTGATTGGTTCAAAATCAAAGATGCCGAATTTTCTTATGTGAGAAAATAGCTTAAGAYTCTTGGATCCACGTGAGCTTTTGATAAGCATAATTTGAACATGGTTGATAGTACTAGCTGAGTTTGGGCGATCTGTTACCCCGAAAGTTCCAGCTAATTTACTATCGCTTACCGTAAAACCATCCTATGCCAATGACCTCTAGTAGAGCGACCAGAATAAGAGATATACCTCCTGCTTGATAGTCGAACATTTGAAAGACGTACATACCTCCCTGCAATAGAAAATAGTCTCATTTAGTAAACACAAACGTATCATGAGAAACAAAAGGTTGCCKTTCTAAACAGTTTTTGAATATGCCTAAATGACCATAAATTGTTTTGACAGAAATACAGATGCTCGATTGACCTGATCAATACTTTAAGTTATCATGCAGTGGCTTAGAAATCTGTCCTTTTTTACAKTGTTTTTTGTTGTACAGTGTCAACTTCTCTTTATAGATCGCCTTCTGCTTTACAGATAATCTAATTCCTTWGTACCTTTCTAGCTAATCTATTTGTACGGCAGTCATATTACCTGAGTAATATTGGTAATTCCAATCACATAGCTGACCAGGCAGAATATCAGTGTTATATGTGGCTTGTACCGTCTGCATCCYTTGTATGAATCAGCCAACACTGTAGTCACTGTCTCGACACCAACAAACTGACTGTCCAGACCCAGGTTGAACAACATGAAGAAGAAAATAAACGCCCAAAATGGCGCACCTGGCATTTTCTTGATACCCTCGGGATAAGCAATGAACGCTAATCCAGGTCCTAAAAATTTTAATT